ATATATATATATAAATTTATTATATATATATTTATTATATATATGGTTAGTTTTACTAGAACTTTTTTTTTGACACTGCTAACTAGAGTTTTTGACACTGCCAGTGTTTCAACCGCCTCCCGCAGTGCCACATCCAACGGTATGTTTTGACTTTTATTGAGATTCCTTTCTTAACACACCTATCCTTCAACTATACACCTTATTATTATCTTCATATAGCCTACCATTCCATTACCGCTTTCAAAAAACTAAATGTCAATTGTCATCTATATATAGTACAACCTGTTTTTTGTTTCTTTATCATCATAACCTTGTTTTTACATTTATTCTTACATTTTAAAGTATTCTTTTAAAATTATTGTTTTCTTATAGAGTTATTTATACTTAATAATCTATCCCAACAATATTACACTAATGTTACCCTATTAATCTTTCAATTTCTTCACTTCTTAACCTTTGGTCCCGTTATCTGTTTATTTACAATTAAAGGTAACCTCCACTTGCTTGTTATCCACTGATATCTTATTATTATGTTATCTTATCCATATTTTAACTTTACTGTAACAATAGTTATTCAATTTTCAATCAATTTATTCGTTAACATTCATTTATTCGTTAACATTCATGTATTTATTTTCTTTTATCTATTTTCTTATCATGTATTTATTTTCTATATCTTTTATTTCTGTATCTGACAACTTCTTCGTAATTTATATATACTTATATTTATTTTTTATTTTATTTTTATTTTTTCAACATGTTTGTATCTTTTGTAGCCCTGAAGACGACCTGCAAAGTGGGTCGAAACGTCGACAAAAATTAAAATTATTTATATATTTTAATTTTTTTTATTTTTTTGACCGCACCCTCGACTAATTCCTTCTCATATCATATCAACGGTCAACCAACTCTACATCATTATGATATAATGTTTTGATTAATTATTTTTTTATGTTTCCAAATTTAAACTAACTAAAAAAGATTTTCACTTACCTCCCTCTTCTTAGCAGAAATAAGTATTTTCAGACAAAGGGGAAGTGGGAGTAAAAATTATTGACACTATATTTATTTACAATTAATTGCCGGTATTTTTATTTTTTTTTTAATTATCAAATTCTTTCATATTTTATATTTAATTAGTATTTATATCACAGATTAATGTGAAATGGTTAATTATTTCAAATAAAAAAAATAATAAAGGTACTTTAGAGGAAGCCAATATTGAAAATTAGCCATTTAAGCCCTGATAGAGAACATCTATGAGAATAAAACCTACATTATATTAAAAACTGCTTCATAATGCACTGATATACTGAGTTTAATCAAAATTGTTTGAGCCGTTTTTGAGAAAATCGTAAAAATGTGTTAAGTCGATTATATAAAGTTCCACATCAGTTTGCCGATTTTGATGAAAATGTTGCTGTAACATTGCAAGCTTATAAAACCTTAAATATGCAATTTCACTTTCATGTGACGTTTTGGTTTTGAGCTAGACTGATAACATACACACACACAGACCATTTTGTGGGACTTTGTTATTTGGACTCAAGAGACGTCAAAACATGTATTTCCAATGCAAACTCAGACTTGAAAATGTTCACAATTTCAATATTTACCCTTACTATATATTGCAAACATAGGTAAGTGAAAGTAAAAATGGTAGGTTATATTTAACAATTGATATTATCAGCTTTACTACTGGGCAGATATTAAATCAATTTTCTTTTACTCACAAACATTTTACATTATTTTTATTATTTATTTATTTTTTCATTTTATTTTAGGACTCCATTGGTAGATAGGATAAAGTTGACAAAAGAAACTTTGAGTCAAATGCTAAATAAACTTAATGTAGTTGATGAAACCAAATTTAATCTTTTAAATCATGGAGACTGTCATAAAAATAACATTCTCTTCAAACATGATTGTAACAAGCGACCTATTGCAATAAGGTAATCTATTTAAATTTTTTTCAAAATTTAATACTGTAAATGGCTTTCTAGACTTTGTACAGAGGGCAAGGTCTCCAAAACCTTATATGGGTAATTCTTACAATACATAATTTTTCTCTGTCTCAAGTAATTTTGTAGGTTTAAAAAAAAAATATAGTGCAGTGCACTCATCATACACTTACCACTCTACTTTGAGTAAAAACATTTATTTTCATTTATAAGTACAGCAACACAAAAATTATGAATGGAATAATATATTCGTTTAAAACAATTAATTGTCATATGTTATTCACACCCATCTAATCAATTCAATTTATTTTTTGTTATTGTCCCTTTGTTTTGAAAATTACATACTTTAATTATAAGGATGTCACACGTTTATTTTATTCTGTAGAATCACCCATGTTTTAATCCTTTTTTATTACAGATTTGTGGATTTTCAAATGGTACATTATGGATCCCCATGCCTAGACTTAACATATTACACATACCTATCCATAGAACCCTCTATTAGACGTGACAACTTCCATCTTTTAATAAGAACATATCACAATTCTCTTTTAAATACCTTGGACAAATATCAGTACAAAGGAAACAAACCAAACATTGAAGAAATCATAGAAGGCATGGAGAAGTTTTCTTTCATAGGACTATTATTATTGCTCATCAAGTATCCAATTTTATACATGACTGAGAAGATGGGCAAGGTGCGTGATATGGAAAAGATAATGGCTACTGATGGTAAGGAAGGTTTTTCGGATGAACTCTTTAAACCTGAACTACTGGAGCCTGGAATAGGAACTGATCTCAAAACCTTTGTTGAATTGTTTTTTTGATACAGTAAGTAAATAAATAAACCCTGTTGTAATAAACTATAACTAGGTATAATATAAATAATATAAAATAAAATAAAACTAGATATACACATATGTACCATTAAATTTTATCATTCAGATACTATTTTTCCTCTTCCTAACCCCATTTTTCTTTTTAAAGAAGTCATATATTTTTATTTAACAAATATGTTTTAATATTGTACAAAGCATGAAATAGCCTCAGGGATGCATTGTCTAGACCAGGGGTTGGAAATAACTTTACCTTCAGTTTTTTTTTTCAAACCAATCACAGATATCGAATGTGAAATTCTGATTTACTCGCAGGTCTTTGTGTTCAGACTTTACTAAAAATGTTTAAACTGAACAATGATATAATAAAAGATGATCTTGGGAAAATCGACTGCTACTTGAACAATGATTGTATTAGTATGTAAAATTATATCTGTGTTTATATATTGTTATATTTAACAAATTTCAAGAATTATTTGCAATAAAAAAACATGTTTAAAACCATGGTATATTCTGAAATATGTTGTTTGAATTTTTTTTTGTTCCTATGCCTCTTGACTTCGACTTTTTAAGTCATCAGTCTTCTTCAGCATCTTGGGACTGTTATAGGCAACAGTAGAGATTCGTTTTGTTCTCTCTTCTTCGAGATATCCAGGAAGCACGTGGTTTACTAACCAGACGAGATCACAGGGCATGCTCTTCATCAGGAACTTTCCTGCAGGATGGTTGGCAATTTTTTGCTTCAATCTTCCACCCAGTTTTTTATGAGATAAGGGATTATCAGCCCTATACCCAACCCCCAACCTGGAGGACCAGGAGCTATGGTTTAAGACACAGAGATCACTCACCTCCCTATGAGTTTCTGAGTGGGAGTAGTGGTCTAAGTAGTCGAGTAGGAGGCCTGTACTTAATTATTTTTTATGTTATTAATTCCCGTGAATGGGATTTGAACACTTGATATAAAATTTTTGCAGGCACCTTAACTCGCTACCCCTAATAATAATGGTTTAAATTGTAATAATAATGATCATATCTAAAATTTAACATTTTTTTTTTGTATAATAAAATTTCAATTAAATATATTTTGTGAATTTATCTTTTTTTTCTAGAATAAAAAAAAAAAGTACAATGCATCACGCAATAATTACTTACCACCCCACTTCCAGTAGAAATTAATTTTTTTTAAATTTAATTAAATTTTGGAATATTACTTCATTTAATATAAATAATGACTGTTCTGTGGACTATATATTTTTGGATTTTAAAGCTGAAAAAGAAAAAAAATGCACATATTTTCTTAGGAAATTCCGTTCAGTTTCTTTAGAAACGTACATTCCACATTCAATAATATAAAAGTAGATATTATAACTGCAAGGATAAAAAGTCAATTAGCTTTTTGTTGCCCTACATTACCTTCTATGACCTTATATCCATCTTTTCCTTTTTTTTTATTTTTAGCTTCTCAGCAGTGTATTATACATTTATATTACTACTGTTAGAAATTAGTTTTCACAGATAATAATGAATTTCTTCCATTTTATATTGTATTTAATTATCAAACTCTTTCATGGTTCATATTTATCCATTTTGTATTACATCAGACCTTTTATACACAAAATTAAGGAACCACTGAAGTTCTTGTTGCTAGACTAGACCAGTAATTATAACCAACACTCTTGTGTTGACACATTGGCAAGCTCATTAAACTATACCTATGAAATATGATAATCATAAATTGCAAATACTGATTATTTATTATCAATTTTAAAATATCAGTCAACAATATATTCATGTCTGAAATACATTGTATTCTTGTATGCAATATATCTTTAATAATACTGATTGTTACTTCAGAATTGTAAGTAAAACTTGTATTAGAGATTACTTGTTGATACATTTTAATGTAACAAATACAATGTATGTTTCAATCTTTCATAATCTCTAATAACAGGAATAACGGTATAACCCTCCCCTCCCCCTCTAAAAGATGACCAAAATTATTATAATTATACCAGCATATCTATTTAGTTATAAACAATAGATCTAACTGAAATTAGATTTTTTTAAATTTAAATTTCTAGTATAAGTGAACTTCTTCTATGGATAAAATTCTGAATTTGCCACTAACAGAAAAAATAAATAGCAAAAATTTTAAATTCCAAATTTTTTACTATACAAATTTTGACTGTTGTCATTGGTTTAAATTCACATTTGAATTATAATAAAATTACTTCGTAGCGTGTATAATATTTAATGAATAGTATTGAAGCAAAACTTATTATTTAGACAAAAGTCGTAGTAGTATACAGACCTTGGTTAATGAGGAACAGTTGGTAACACTGATTCGTAACCTTCCCAGGTAGAATTGCTATTTGTTGTTATTTGTGATCGTTCTCTCCTTCGTTATGCTTCTTTTTGTGATTTATTTTAATCCCTAATATAGTTTTAAACGCATCTCCTACTTTTTCTAACTTTAGATTTAGTGTAAAAGTGTACCTGATATTTGGAATTTTGTATTTTTTCAAGAAACATTAACCATGAGCTATACTTCACCTAATTACTCCTACAAAACAAGTCCCCATTTTCGATACTCCGATGGATTTAAACCACCTTACATAAGTCCTCCCAATAATGGACAAGCGTTCTCCCCTTACAGTTATAGCAGTCCAAAACAAAGTAATAGAGGAGGAAGAATGAGATATTTCAACAGCTCAAGCCCTTATAAACACAACAGAAACAATGTAAGTTAAAAGTTTTAAATACTTAATGATTAGTTTACATAAGTATAATTCTGTTATTTACTTCTTATTAATGTTTTGTTTTTAATTGGCCTTTCATTTCTTAGATAACTTTTATGTGTTATCAAAGATATGAAATTATGTCACATGTGTTTATTTCAACTTAGCTGTTTCTTCTAAAACTTGCATTCCAAATATTCTTATTGGTTTCAGTCCCTCCACCTGGTTATTCCTTACTTTAAGTTCTTGCATACTGCTTTGAAAGTTATTACTCTTTTTTTTATATTCCCTCTACAGTTCTAAAATCGAAATTGTGTTTCCTTTGTTTTTAATGTTTATCCATTGTTTGATGTATTGTTTTCCTATTGTCTTATTTGTGTGCACTTTCTCCTGTTCTCATATCACTTAAGTGATAAATGACACTTTTTAAGAAGTATCCCAATGATGACCACTGTGTTGGTTCACTGTTTCGGGAACTAAGTGGCTAGTTATTTAGAGATAATATTGGTTGATATCAATCAATCAAAAGATAATTTAACATGATTTTTCTGAAGTATCACTCCTCCATGGGTCATTTGTCACTCCGATTTGTAGAGTGGGCTAAGATCTCATGTTCAGGATATAAATGGAATCCTGAGGATTGATGTGTTCATAGTATCACCTCTCATTATCTATGACTTGATTTAGAACTTGGGCAAACTCTCTACTGGTCCTTTTCAGTTAAAATCAGAGCATTAATTAGCTGTAATTACATTGCTGCTTTTGATTTGACTATTGCTTGCTTAAAAGGAATATTAAAAAAACCAATGGCTCTTTTTTAGTTAAGGTCAGAGCCTTTTATCGGTCATTTCTATCTACTTTTAGACAAACTTATTCATTCTGTGTTCCGCTTATTATGTGATCATAAGATTTTGTGCAACTATAAAAGTGGAGTGTTAGTTGTACAATAGTAAGTGATTTTCCGTTGTATTTAAGCGATCAGAAATTGTTTTCTGAGGAACACTTAATCTTTTTACAATTTGTTTTCGTCATCCATTAAGGATTACTGTTATTAATTTTCTAACTTTTTCATTGACGTGGATGTTCGTTTTTCTTTTCCTTGAAAATCACCACTTTTGAATGGGTTTGAAACTTCAAATAACAGTGTTTAAAGAACTTTTTTGTAATAAAGTTCTGGGTTTAGTGTAAGAGTTTAACTTTTAAGCTTTTTTTTTTTTTAAGTGAAAGATAACCATTAATTGTACTTAAATTACAGATATAAATTATCTTGAATGGATTGCCTGATTTCTATATGAAAATTTACTGCTGCAAAATTACTATTTATTTTATTTACATTTGGTGAAATGGGTTACTTTTATATTAAATATTTTTAAAATAAAAGTTGTGTAAAATCTTTAATTGACGATTTCCATGTGAAAATGCTCTATTTCCAAAATAACACATAACCAATCAAAAATAAAATTTCCAGTTATATTAGAACTGATACAACATATAAGTTAACTTTTCTTTTCAAGCTATAACTTTTAAAACTATTATTAATATCTATAGATATTACATATTATTATCAGCCTTCAGAAGAATATAATAATTTTCATTGGGTTGTGGATAGGACATTAGGCTAAATGAGCACTAAGTATTTTTTTTTATTTATTTGACTTTTGTAATAGATTTAATAAAATGTATTTAACTTTTTTCCAGAGGGATACATATCATAAGAATAACAGAAGATCTAATGAATATTCAATCCCAGCATCAGCATATTATCATCCTTCGATGTTGGAAAACCCTTGGGAAGAATTGGAAAAGGAATGGCAGGAAAAGAAAGAATCGGAACTGACCTCGAAAAATTCCGAGCCCAGTGGCGATACCTCTCCCAAATAATTTATGTTGTTTATATATTTTAATTTTTTTTTTATATATATAGAATTTTATCTTAGTTTTATAAGTATTTATGTTTAAAATAAATCATGGTCTCTGCAATTTTACTAAGAATAAGTGATACTCAACTCAAAAATATTATATTTAAGTTTGTCTATTATGATATGCAATATATGGGCATCGCGTGATGTTTAAAAGTGTAGTGTTTATATTTAAATAACTATTGGAGACAGGGTAAAGATTTGTGAAATTGAAAGTTTCATTTCTTTACCTTTAATATATTACATTTGCTTTTTATTTATTATATTTGCAATTAAGGAGGTCCCATTGGAACTCACTTAAATCTGATTACAAGATTAAAATATTTTTTTTTTAAAATTTACTTTCATAATAGTTGAAAAAGAAAAAAAGATTTTATAGTAATTTTGTAAATTGTACAGTTTGGACTTGATTGCTTTCCTACAGCTCCTTAGTGGTACGTATAATAGATATAATTTAATTATCATTCTTTGCCACCATAAAATTGTGATATCCATTGATAGTCATTTATATATAATTGTTTTTATTATAATTATGTTATTTTATTCTGATATTTTATTTTAGTGCTGTAATTGACAGTACATGAAAATAAATACCATATATTTTAAATGTTCCATTTATTATCTATAGAATGTATCTGTGTGAATGGCAACTGTTTGGAGGAGTACAAAATATTGTAAATCTAAGACCTCATTTTATGTGTAAATAATTTTGTTAAGAAGAAATTTAATTAAGAAAATAAAGTCTTTTATTTAATGTAGTTTATAATATCCTTAAAATGATCCACTATTTTTCATTTTAATCTTATGGGTAAAGTTTGGTGTTGACAAGTGAAAAAATAAGTTCTATATTAAATCACTCTTCAAACATTATATAAATACATTTTTATACAATATATGAGCCATTTTCTTTAAAAGTGGTGCAAATCTATTTTATATTACCTGGAGAAATTTAAGAGTATGTTTCTAAATAGTTTGAAAAATATTAGTATTCATTAATGAACTTAATTTATGGTTTTTAAATATTAAGTTTATAATAAAATATTATGGGGTTCAGTTTATAATGTTAAAGAGTGAGGTAGCTCAAGGTATTAGGTTCGAATCTCGCTATTGACTAATCATTTTTCATCAGCCATGGATTGAACTAGGGGCCAGGAGACCCTCTTGGGGCATACCCAGCCTCTTTAAAGTGTGTACTCCTAATTAAATAATTAATTAATGGGAAAAATCTGGCTGTTGAGTGTGATCTAGGCCCAATCATCTCCCTACTCAGCTGTTGACCTGATAACACTACTTGCTCACATTATACTGAACCCCAAGATTTTTTTTTAAGTTTATAATATAACCATTTTTAAAATATTAGTTACTGATAGTTTTGCTGACCTCAAATGGACTTACATCACTTATTAAGTCAATAGCAACACTTAAATCAAACCTTAATGAATTTGTTAATGTTAAAGGTAATTGTACTTATTAACTTCAAGTTAGGTGAACAAACAGAAAACACTACTAAGTTTTACATTCTAAACCAGGAGTCACTACAAAGAGCAGCCTACTAAAGTTTTTTTAATAACATGGTAAAATATTAAAAAATATGAAATTTAGTAAATCACTCAAACATAAGGATTCACTATACCATTTACTGTACGAGTTATTTCTTTCAGAAAGCTTATTTTACTACTGGTGTCATTTATAGCATATGTGCTGACTTTCCATTCTGATTGAGGGAGCAATGGATATCCAAATATAAGTCTCGGGAGTTTATATCATATTTCTTTCAATTATGGGGTGATAATCAACATAATTATTGTAAAACAAACAGTATAATATAAAAATAAATTTATATATGTAGATATATATAGACCATATAGATCTTTTGCTGCCTTAACAAGCTTGTTCCATCGCTATCTGTCTTGGGCTATTTATTTCCATTTATCTGCATGCAGCTCTGTTGCATATTTATATAAATATATATATATTGTAATGTCAACATTACATGGCATTTGGATAGTGGCGCAAAGGTGGTGATGGCGCGAACTACGGGAAGAAAGTGGGGGAAACAAGCTTCATGTAAGGCAGAAAGAGACAGCGACGGGCCGCCAAGAGGGAAGGAGACAAGCGGCCAAGGGGGAAGGTTCCAGCCAGCAAGTGGAGAAATTAAGAAAAGGAGTCTTAGCCGGTTCGAGTGTTGACAGAGGCCACTAGTGAAGATTATTTTATGTTGGAAGAAAGAATATAGCAGAAATTAATTAAGTGGTACAGAAACATTAAGTGGACAATCGTAAGTAAGAAGAGATTATTTCGCTGGCAGGCGTAAACATTTGGGTGAGTGCTAACAATGCCATTTATGTTGACAGAGGGATAGAACCAAAAGTTTAGACCGGGACAAATTATTTAATAAAATATTTTTTAAATTATAAATAAGTGTAGTAGTAATTAATGAATTAGTGTACATTGTCTTTATAAATAGGAATGAGTGTTCAGGTGTCAGAACCCAACCTTGAGATTATGTTATATGTGTAAAATAAATAAGATATTCAAAAAGGAAACTCATTTGTTTGTTTTTGTTGCTTTTGAAAACGTTACAATATATATATATTTAAACTTAACTGTTTAATTGGGAATAAGGTCACTTAATTATTATTTAATAAACTATTGAATGTTCATTTCTTCTGTTTATTGACGTTTTGATCCCGGTATTTTCTTTTTATTAGTCAACGATAGGATCCTCTTCAAAGCTAGAATTTTAAAAAATAGAGCTTCGATCAAGTTAGGGACACACCGACAGTCTCAGCAACGTCCACTAGCACATATATTAAGCTACTATTAGTAGCTTAATATATATGCAAAGGTCGATTAAGGAAAAGTTGTAAATATATATATATATAAATATATATATATATATATATATATATATCGTGGGAAAAAATATATATATATTACAAATATAATCGCTTTGAAACATGCCTAAGTTCACTCTTCACAAAGGTATATTGTTTAGTTCAGAAATTACACCTCCACGAAGTGGCGTGCCCCAAGGCTTGTGATGAGAAAAAAAAAAGGTTTTTCTATGAATCTTAGGTGCAGACTTCGGAAGAGAGGGTTTGCCCCTCGCCCCAATATTTAGAAGAACAAAAATATAATCAATAAAAATTGATCTGCATCAATAAATGAAATATATAAACTAAAATCAATTAAGAAAATAGGAAAAATGGACTAGATGGCTAAACTAAGACCTAGAAGTAGATACACAAGTATTTTACCTCTCCCAATATTCATATTATTGAAATTTTAGTTTATATTCAAAGATAATTAATTATATACAGCATCATATTCTAGGATTTTATTATTCAATCATGTGCACCTTTCCATTTTTATGTGAATATTTCATCACATTTTCTCAGAAAATTTATTTCACTGCATCAAATCTTTGAATAAAAATATTTTCAAATATACCATACGAAAAAAAATTATATACAAACATATATACATACACACACACACACATATATATATATATATATATATATATATATATATATATATATATATATATATATATATAAATTTTCTCTATTTATCATTTGTATATAAATATATATTCTTTTTTTAGCATGGAAAAGATGTCTAGTCGTGTTCTGTAATGTAAATGTAATGAGGTAAATACTCCTGCTATCACTTAGTTTTTAGTTGTTTTTTTTATTGTAATATGTATTTTGGCCAGATGGAATGTTAATTTTTATTTACAAAATTGTTATTCTTAAGAGACTTTGTCCTAGAATAAAGTTGATTCTTCTATTCTATTCTATATATATATATGTTTGTATATAATTTTTTTTTCGTATGGTATATTTGAAAATATTTTTATTCAAAGATTTGATGCAGTGAAATAAATTTTCTGAGAAAATGTGATGAAATATTCACATAAAAATGGAAGGGTGCACATGATTGAATAATAAAATCTTAGAATATGATGCTGTATATAATTAATTATCTTTGAATATAAACTAAAATTTCAATAATATGAATATTGGGAGAGGTAAAATACTTGTGTATCTACTTCTAGGTCTTAGTTTAGCCATCTAGTCCATTTTTCCTATTTTCTTAATTGATTTTAGTTTATATATTTCATTTATTGATGCAGATCAATTTTTATTGATTATATTTTTGTTCTTCTAAATATTGGGGCGAGGGGCAAACCCTCTCTTCCGAAGTCTGCACCTAAGATTCATAGAACAACCTTTTTTTTTTCTCATCACAAGCCTTGGGGCACGCCACTTCGTGGAGGTGTAATTTCTGAACTAAACAATATACCTTTGTGAAGAGTGAACTTAGGCATGTTTCAAAGCGATTATATTTGTAATATATATATTTTTTCCCACGATCTAAACAGCGATAACCACACGAATATCATTTCCATTTCCTCTTCACTCCCTCAGCCTGTCTCCTACTCCAATACTCTCTCATCCTCCTGGGCTGTTCCTCTCGCTCTTTCTTAGTCCATTTTCTCTTTCCCACCTACAAGAACCCCAACCCCTTTCATTTGTAATATTATTAAATATATAAATTTATATGAACTAAATGATAACAGGGAGATTTTTTTTTTGGAACTGTCAATAGATAAAAACCTCATGAAAGACTGCATTAATTGTTATCATTAACTAACTTTTTATCAAAAACAGACCTAATCACTTTCAAAGAAAAAGACTTATACAATAAATATAAGGTTTATCTATAATTTATAGTGCTATTTTTTTTTTTTTTTTTATAAAAAAGACATGCATTTTACATGAGAGAAACCAAACATATCAAGCAACGAAATGTCTGTTTTATTATTAATATTTCTTTACCAACCATTAATCACTGAAGTATACATAATTATTAAATTAAAGAAACAACTTTGTATTGTGTTTAGGCAATAATAAAAAATGTTTATAAAATAATTGTAGAACTTTTCAATAAATTAACATTTTTAATTTTTACGATTTTATAAGTTCTATGCTTAAAAAAATACTGTGATTTGTTTCTTCTCTCCCTTATTTTTCTTGCGGCACCACAGAGATTGAACGATACAATGAAAACAGTCCTAAGTTGTTGAAAAGTTTTGTTGACAATTTATATTTATTTCAAATCATGAACTTTTCTTTTTCTAGCACATCTTTCTATCATGAAATACTTTCTACAAAAGTAGTTAATTTAAGTTACATAATAGCAATTTAATTTCAAAATTCGTAATTATTTTAACATTTATTTATATTTTATTTTATGCAATTTGTACCTGCGCGTTTTTCCAGTTTTAACTAAAACTCCTTGCTGAACACACCTTTAAGTCTCTATTTTTATTTATTGTTATTGTTTATTTAATTTTGTTTTTCTTTTCTTTTTTCACATCCAGTTATGTCCATTATTTCATATTATTTATCCTTTTCCTCCAATTTCTCCTTGAGATCTGTAGGAGTATATTCATAATTGCATATATTATACTACAACAATTGTTACCATTTATTTGCTTCAGTTTAGGATCTTGTTATTTAGTTTACTCTGTTTATATTTTAATGTACTTACTGTTTATAATTGCAATACGTTTATTCACCTTGTTTATAATTTTTATCTTAACATTATGTAACTTCCACAATTTTCTATATCCTTTTGTATATTGTCCGTTTTAGCCCTGAAGAAGACCTGCTAAGTCAGGCCAAAATGTTGGCTTAAAATAAAATAGTTTTGCCACTATTTTAGTCAATTTACGACCGCCACCGCAGACCATCTCCTTGAAGTAGGATAAGTGAAAGTTGTGCGGTGCATAACACTAGATTTTTAAAATCTAGAGAAAATATAGGATAGGAATAAATCACATAAAACTTTTATCTTTTTAATTTTATCATTTTACACAGTTTTTCCTATGCTTATGATATTGGATTGAAAAATTATTTTATTTTCTTACAGAAAATATAAATATAAAAAAAAAAAATAGAAATTGAATTTAGTTGTAATCTTCATTTAATTAATAACATTAAAAAAAATCTATAATAGATACAAAATGAAAAGGAGATAATCCTCGTTACATTTCCAATCTTATTATTAAATAAGTTATCTTATAATGTAAGGAAATCTTGGCCTTTTGTTTCCAGAATATTTTCCATCTCTCGAACTTCTTTACACCAAACATTTAGCCTATCGACCATCGATGAGATCTAGAAATTAAAAAAATAATAACCCACAAAATATAATAAAAGTATATAAAATGAATCTTTCAAAAATATATTAGGTAGGTAACACTTGTTATTTCTCAATATCAAAACATGTCTACTTTGCAAAATTGCTAAAGGTAAAAAAAACTTCTAATGATTAAGCTATCATTTTTTTTTTTAAATAATTTCATATTTCAAATTTTTTTTATTATAATCATGCATTGTTTTTATTTTTAAACTCTCGAAAAAGGTAAAGTAGAAAGTAAGCATGAATTACTACATGAGTGGTTTCGTGAATGAGAAATAGCGAGAATTACAGAACTTTAACATAGAACAATATTTTTTATGGATCTTTAATATATAAAATATTATTAATACCTGTTGCTTATTAAGAACTCGGGGTTTAAGCCAAGTCATATGAACAGTTTGGCCAACTTGATCTATTGCACCTTTGACGAGACCCTGCGCTAAGGCTTTCATTACCAGCAGTTCTACCTCTTCAATTGGCAGCCTTGTCGCTTGCGAAATTTCTACAAAGGTTAGGTCTCGTTTGTTGGACGCTCTTTTAAAGGTCATCTAAAAACATTTAAGAATAAGATAATATCATTTCTAGGTTTGTGATAAGGCAGTACAATATAATAAAGTTCCTCTGAGAAGAAGTTAGTCGGGGGTGCGGTCAGATAAATACTAAATTAAAATATAGTAATTATTTTATTTTAATTTTGCCGACGTTTCGAATCACTTTGCAGGTCGTCTTCAGGGCTACAAAAGATACAAAATAAGAAGAAGTTGTCAGATACAGAAATAAAAGATGATATCAGAGATATAGTGGGTGACAATGTAGTAAAATATTATATAAATATAAAGAAACGGCGGCAAAATTAAAATAAAATAATTACTATATTTTAATTTAGTATTTATCTGACCGCACCCTCGACTAACTCCTTCTCATATTATATCAACGGTCAACCATCTCTACATCAATAAAGTTCTTCAATTATAATCAAATATAATTGAAATAAAAACATTTTAACTATGACCAAAGTACACTATGTTTGAGAGAATATTAAAGTTACGAATGAAACCTTCTCCCAACTTAAGGTTTGTACAAAAAAAATACTGTGTTCTTACAACACAAATTATAATTGGCTACGTGCATGAATTTTCTGTTTTTATTTGTCGATGAAGATTACGTTATAACAATCAAAAAGTCCCAAATTTTTCAGATGCATATTTGCAAAGATAATTGTTAACTGTAGAATATATATTGAAGAGAAGTTGGTTGGATTTTCAAGTAAATGAAAATACAAAGTAATTTCATTAACTGAAAACCACAACCAACTTCTCTTCAATAATTAACTTTAAAGGAAAATGGTGGAGATAGAACTACATTAGTAAAGTGGTTATGCCATGCCCTGCTCGTTCCTAGCTCATATCATTGGGTATCTTTTGGCTAAGAATAGTGTTCCAACTTCAAAATTTCCTTCCATCCAAGAAATATTTAAATATTTTATTTAAATAATATTTAAACATTTAATATTAAATATATATATAAATATTTTCAATTGTTTTCTCCAACCCGGTCGTCACAGAATAGAAATATTTGATTTAAATGTATTTTACTAGCTTTTGTCAATATTTATTAAGTACAGCTATAAGATATGTGTAATAGCATTGTGTTAGGCAGTGGTATATATCAGACCAAGGTATTCTTAGGCCACACCTCCCATACCCTACCATATTTTCCAGAAGCACTGTAATTTCATTAGTTTTTTTGCAAAATATGTTTTTTTTTTTAGTATTATTGTTTAAAAAATGCTACTTCAATCTTAAATACGTTCTACATCATTTGAATTCTGTTCCAGCTTAAATTTACATAATCTTTTTTCCATGCAACTTGCAGTTAGGTCGAAATTAAGTTTTTTAATTTTTTAACTTTCTCTTATCTTTTTGACTATATTCAAGGAATCGCGTTGATACATGTGTGCGATTTAGTCTTGTATTTCTAGCATTCAAATAATTTTTTTTCTCATAAAATATAAGTATTGTTCTTCAATTGTGGCTTGATGTTACAGAATTGAAATTAATTTTACAAAAAAAAGACGTCTTCCTGTGTATTCCATTTATGTTTTATTTTTGCGCAACCGGTTTTGGTCTTTTATGAGACCTTCGTCAGGCTTATAAAAAATGACGCAATATGCCTGAATGTAAAAAGTACTCAATTTGAGGAATCTGCACTCATAAAATTAGTGGAGGCAAATTAAAACAATACGTAGGGGTAGGAATAGCCCATCTGGTCAATAGTTTTATTTTATTTTTTAGTCCTCATTTGACAAACAGGATAGGAGTATCCACTATCAGTTAGGTGATTACCATTTTTATTGATTAATTTATAAAGATTTGATTTTAAATTGTTAAATTTTAAGTTAGGTTTTATTATTATTTAGAAAAGTTTTTATTGTTGTTTTTAATTTTATTATTTTACCTAGCCTGATGAAGGTCAGATAAAAGACTGAAACCGGTTGCGCAAAAGTGAAAAATAAATGGAATATACAGGAAGAAAACATCTTTTTTTGTAAAATTATAAGTATTGTGTAATGGTAATTGTTTAATGTGGTATTGTTAATGATATAGTATATGGACTAGTGTTGTGAAAAGGGATAAAAAAAAAAACTGATGTTTATATAATAATGGAATAATATGATGTAAGAGCTATGTCCATATGGATTGATCAGTATGCTGCGTAAAAAGCAACCCTATATAGTAAGGCAGCACTACTTTCAATACAGTATTTCTCTCTCTGCTCAGTGTAACGTAATGAAGTAATAATTTCTTGTTAATTTTTTTCCTGAATAATTTTTGTAGAATAAACAAAGTATTAATATTTCATTTGAGGCTGTATTTAATTAACGCTAATACTTTTATTTTATCATAAATTTAAATAACCTTTAATTAAAGAACCAAAACATTATATAAAAATATAATAATTAAACTTCTTAAAAAAATAGTTATTCATAATTTCTTTTTATATATTTTTTTCTGTTAGAATTTGTTGATTGATCATTAGATTACATTAACAAGATATTTGGGCTAGATTATTGCTACTTACATAATCTGGTTCCCGATTACAAAAAAATTATTGTGATTATTTTGATAAATTCTCGTTACCATTTTAAAAATAAAATACACAGGAAAGAAAAGAAGTAATTTCACGATGTTGAGATTTTGGAGAAAAAAGTTTAAAATCCTGTTAAATAGCCAATTTTCAATAAGTGTCATTAATATATTTTTTCAGTTCTAAATTGAATTATTCCAGTCCACTGGTATTTCTCAAGGTAGTATCCTAGGCCCTATCCTCTATACAGTTTATACAGCTGACATTCCTACCTATCCCAACACTGTCATCACCACATATGCCGATGACACATGTATCCTATCAGTAAATAATGACCCAGAAATTGCATCTCAAATGCTTCCTTCAATCACACATCATAAATCTAGAAGAATGGTGTCAAAACTGGAGAATTAAAATAAACTCCAATAAATCCCACCAAATTACCTTTACCCTTCGTCATAAAACAACAACTTCCTGTCCTACAGTTTCCTTTAACAATACTCCACTTATCCTTGTTGAGCAAATCCGATACCTAGGACTCCATCTGGACAAACGACTAACTTGGAATCCTCATACTAGACCGAAACGACAAGAAACCGCTCTACGTTTCCGATTACTTCAGCACTTACTAGACAAACGCTCTAAATTTCCAATTAATTACAAAAGACTCACATACTTGACTATAATAAGGCCTATTTGGACTTACGGAGTTGAGCTATGGGGCTCCACTAAACCATCGAATTCCTCTCGTATCCAATCCTTACAATCCAAAATCCTCAATGCTCCCTACTTTGTTACAAATAAAACCATCCATAATGACCTTAATGTTCCTTTTGTTTCAGATCTGGCCCAATTCAGATACCTATCCTTCCATAATAAACTTCAGAATCATCCCATCCCAACCCTCTCGTTTCTAACCTTGCTTCCTCTTCAATTCCTGATAATCATCCGAGGCGTCTGAAAAGAAGATGGCCGTGATCTCCTAATGTAAACATATCATTAGAGTGCTACCATTGGGTAGTTACTCAGCAAGTGTTTTTCATGTCACTATATACAGTATGTTCTAATTTACTAGATGTATTTTTTTAATACAGTTGTAAATGTCTTTAAGAAATAAAAAAAATTGAATTATTAACAACACTTTATTTTATTTCAAATGATGATCAATTTTATATCAACTAAAATTACAAAAAAAAAAAGAGAAGAACATGATTAATATCATATGAACATAATTAATGTTCTAAATACATACCTCCATTAAGCAAAGAAGGGAGATTTTTTGACGAAGCTTTATCTCATGCGCTAATAGATCAGGAATTTCACTCCATTTAGGTTTCATTAATTCAAACTTGGCAATATCTCCGGAATTAAAAGCCGATAGCAAGTCAATGATCCATGCGTTACTAGTACCTTTCAAACTATCCAGTACAGGATGTGCCAACTGAGGAAATAATATATATAAAATGTTAATAAATCATAACGATAAATACAATACAATTATTTATGGTTCTATAATTATAATAGTATCGTTGAATGTTAAGAAGGCAGTTCACCACTAGCATCAACTTATATGAGATTAAAAAAAAAATGTTTTTGTCTTTAATATGCTTGTTTATTCACCTATTTCAAACACTATTCAAAATGAAAAACTTGTATAGTTTAGATAGTTTATTCAATATATATATATATATATATATATACGGACTAGACAAATTTTTAAATTAGTTATAGCTCTGCTCTTTTGACTTGAAACATTTTTTATCTTGAATGTCACAAACTTTAGGGTTTTTTTCAATGAACCTATACCGATGAACCTTGAAGTCTTCTTCTCGATTCCCCTTAAATTTATCTATAAAACATACTTCAACGAAAAGGAGCTGGAAAAAAAATTACGAGGGATGGTTAATTAGATTGATTGGTTGATTAGATTCCAATAACTAAAAAAGTATACAGAAATGAAAAAGACAAAAATAAATAATAATATTTATTTTAACATTTGCCGACGTTTCGACCTGAAGTTCAGGGCTGTTCGAAGAGATAGTTCGAACAGCCCTGATGAAGGCCTGAACGTCAGGTCGAAATGTTGGCAAATGTTAAAATAAATATTATTATTTATTTTTGCCTTTTTATTTCTGACTGATCACCCCAATCATCCTTCTCTTCATTATTTACCACAGTCAACCATCAACCCACAATCATAAAAAGTATATACTTTTTTGGTGATATTATATGGTTATTTAAAAGTTAACGAAATTTCCTAAAAAAAAAAAAAAAAATCGGATAATCAGGAGCAAAGATATGGTCTCTAGATGTTTTTTATATGCTCTACTGAAAAGGTTATATTCTCTGTTTTGTTTTTTCAATTTTTGAATGTGGTACTGAAATAAAGCTTTTTTTTTTTTGAGCTAATTACTAATGATTAAAAAAAAAAATGTTTAGGCCAATAATTGGAATCACCTTTTATTTCTAAGTAATTAATAATAAACCATTGTGAAATAATTTGCAGCGGTTTTTTCTTTGATTACATGGTATACTTTTAAAAATATGAAATTTAGTAAAGCATTCAAACAGGCTAGTACAACATTACCAGTTATTTCCCTTTTAAAGTTCATTCCACAGCTGAAGTGTCATTTATAGAACAAGATTATTATTTTCCACCACAAGCCATAGTCGATAGAACTTAAGGTGGCTCTCAGGCCGAAAAGTTGAGAAACCTCTCTTCTAGGTCTTAGAAGTTTGATTGGAAATAATAACTTACTAGTTCACCCAAGTTGTAGACTCCTTCTCCTAACAGCGCTGCTAATCCAAGGAAGAAAGCGTGCTGAATTTTATCATTTTCAGTCAAATCTGACAGTTCAATACAACCTAAATACCTAAAAAAAAAATTTTAAATAAATTATATAGAAATTTAGCTTTTATTGAGATCACTCCACTATACAACTCTCAAAGATTTAATCTAAATTACAACAAAAGCTTGACCGAATTAGATATTAGATGTAGTTATATATATTGTATCACTGTTCTTGCCACTAAATTTTATGATGTTCGTTCGCTCCAATTAGAGCCAAGATATCATGATCATTCTATAAATGGGATTCTAAGAATGAACAAATGTTGACATGTTCACATTATAACCTCTCTTTATTTCGATAATGATTTATGATTTCCGTTAACTCCTTATTACACTTTATTCATTAATTACATCAACACTTACAAACCTCTGATGGGTCCTTATCAGTTGAGGTCAGTGCTTTATCAACCTTTATCTATTTTCCTATACATTCGGCCATTCTTGCGATTCCATTTATAGTGTGATCATGGATCTTGTGCTACCAATCAAAGTAGTACAATTGAACACTTGTTCACCAGTACCAAAATCACTAATCACTATACCAAGTCTCAAAACATAATACAACATACCTAAGTGCAGTTCTGTAGTAGTCAGCATGATGCCCTTTTTGCCGGTAATATTTACTCGCTAAGAGATAAAACCTACCATGCACAGTCGTTATTCCATCGGCTTCATCTAATATCTTCTCCACATCATCTATGATTTTCTAAAATAAATTCAAGTTATTATTTAAATTTGGATCAAGTAATTACATAAATAAAATTAAGTAAAATAAAATACATAAATACCTTAGCAGATTCTAAATCATTAAGTTGCTGCAAAAGAATATTTCCTTGTAAGACTTTGATAAGTGCAACTGCATCGGAATTGCTTCCAACTTTAGGTTCGATGTTCTCGAGAAAAGTCAATGCTTCCTTCGGATTAGAGTACTGAACAACTATGTGTGACACTATTTCAACTAAAGCCAAGGGATTTATCCTGAGTAAGGAAGAATGAAATATTAGTAGAAAATACCAGCTAAATTTTTTGCTTATTGATAAGAAGTTTACAAAAAAAGGAGTCCTACATACTTGCTTTCAAAACCCTGGATAAAGTTATTGTAGAGTTCAATTAATTCTGTTCCTTTCTGCAAATGGTCTTTTTTTACAAAAGCTGCCAATTTCAGTGTTAATTGATGCCACAACCTATGGAATTCAAATTTTGAGTATGATAAACTCTGAATAAAAGTAATATGAAAAGATATTTAACTAACTTTTTGGTGTGGTATTCTTCGAGAAGAGCCCATTCTGAGGCAATTTCTTTTGGAGATGAAGTTTGTTTAGCTGAAAGATAAGCATTAACATCTTTCGAAACTGATGCCATTTCTAAATTTCTTGTATTACTGTGCGATTTTATACTTTTGTCGTTCGTGAATGAGTGCTCAGCAAAATAATATTTTAACCAGTAGGTTATAAAAATTATTTCTTGAGAACTTTAAAATAAAAGCATAATTTGTTACTATAAAATTATTAGTATTGTAGTATGTAAATCGTCCAGGAATACCACTAAAATATTGCGCCTGGGCACAAATCACATCTATCATACTGTCGATAGTTTCATAGTAAACTAAGTAACTAATTGTGACTATTAGCAGATTCAGGATTTAATTTTGGGGGGGCTTCTGCCCGAAAGCTTTTTTTTTTTATAAAAATGACGATAATTACTTCGGAAAATAAGAAAGAAACTAACTATCTATATGAAATGATATTTAAGTGATTCCTTAAGTCCTTTTAAATGTAATTACACGAACAATAATACTTTAAGAGATAATTTTTTAATGTATTTTTTCCATAAACATGATTATATTTTAACATTTTGGGGGGAGGGCTTCAGCCCGAAAGCCTCTCTGTAGTTCCGCCCGTGATTGTGACCATAAGTAAACGAAGGTGACCGGATCAAGGTAGTTTTTACCATTATCTTTTTTTTTTTTTTTTTTAATGAAGGAGATGGTCCTAGATGGCGGTCATAAATAGGCTGAATAGTGGCCAAACTATTTTATTAAAAGCCAACGTTTCGGTCCGACTTTGCAGGTCTTCTTCAGGAAGGTGTGTTCAGCTAGGAGTTTCACTTAAAACTCAATTAATCGAAACTTATGCCAGTTTTCAACTTAGAACTCACTTTTTTATTTATTTTTTTTTATTTTTTTGGGGTTCTTCCCTTCCTCGCCTTTAAGGCGGTTATACGGGGTTTTCCCGGGCCAGGGGGTGTGGGTGATGATTTAAAAGTCTCCCTCGGCACCGAGACGCGAACTCGTTACTATTAAAATAGTTACAAACTCACAATGACTTTTGAGCGCTCTACACTTTCATTAATAAAAAATTTTAATCTTATATATTATTTCTAAAAGGTGTTTTTTTGTCGGTACGCCATAACTTTGTCAATTGTTCAATTGATTGACCACTCGTTTTGAAAATATTCTTCACATCCACATTCGAAAAATAGTCCTATCCTCTCGAAATTTCTGGATAAAAATGTGCCTTTTTTCTTGATTGTACCTTTGATAATTAGAAAGATTACTAAATTATCTACAAAACAAAAAAAAAAATTGAAAAAATTGGACAATTATAAACTAAGATGCAATTCATAAGTTTTGGTATACTTAATAATTTCTTCCTTTTTAAAGATATTGCATTTACTATTCTACTACACTTTTCTATTTGTTTGTTCTTACATTTTATTTTTTTTAATTACTTAGAAAATCCCATGATTGAGGCTTTATTTTGTCTTTATTACCTTTTCAGTCAGCGTTTAAAAATAGGTCCTAGCGTAGCAATTTGTACAAATATTTTAGTTTATTATGTTAAATGGAATGTTGTAATGGACCAAGGAAAAAATATTAATTATTTCCTTACATAATACATAGGATCTACTTATTTCCATATTGTTTTGCCGTTTCTTCACTAAACAAAATTTTCTGGGAATTACTCGCACGGGCGAACAAGTTAACTTATAATATTAATCACTATAATTAAATAAGGAGGATTCCTATATCACAAAGGATTAATTAAGAAAATTTTAATTCAGCACATACGAAAAATAATTGTAGCACTCATGGAATGTTTCACTTATATATTTTTAAAACTATGGATATGGTTAACCATCAAGTACCTGATGATCAACTAAACAGACTCTATTTCAACTGACAAGGGCCGTTAATGCTCCTACACACAGAATGTAAGATGTCTCGAAGATTAACGATATTCCTGTTGGCAGCAGTATGGCTATGTAGTAGTTTTACATTTTACTGCATTTTCACAATCAGAGCGCGATAATCCGCAGCGATACTGACGAAATAGTGTCGTTTCGCCGGGACATATCGCGTTCTGTGTGTAAGAACTTTTAGGAACGTCTCGATGAACTTAGGGGAAATTATGTCTAGGCACTAGCTCACTTTATGCAGTTTTATTTTTACACTTATAATAATTAAAATGCTTTGTATTATCTCTTCATACCATTTACATCTATAAAACAAAATATATTTATGACTTGAGCCTCCAATCAAAACACAGAATTATAACTACTTAAAATGTATTTCTTCTGGAAATGTTACAAAAATTATTTAAGTAAGATTTCTATTAGGCAGAACATGGGGGATCTTGTTGCTGTAGAATAAACAAACACTGATTTAGCGACACAACCACTGCATATGATAAAGCTTTCAGTGTGAGAAGATCAGGGTCCAGGTGATGAAGTTTTCCACGAATAGGTAAGTCATCGATCCCTTTTGTCAAGAATAGACGTTCTTTTTCTACAATAAAAAGATGTTTTTTTACTTGGTCAAAAGCTTCTTTACATTCGTCGATTTCAGATTGAAAAGATGACCTCCTGAATACATTATCCTCAGCAGTATCTCCATGAAGTTGAGCTACAGTTCTTAGCTTGGTAATCCAGTCACGACGGATTCTAGCATCACGTGCCCTTAGTTTCAAGCAGTCACCACACACTGAACTAACTGTGAACGTATTTGAATCCTCATCGCTAGGAGCAATAATAGCCGAAAACATATTAGTCCATCCTTTTGGTCGCTTCCATTTATCACCTTCGTTTATAAAATAACTCAGAACACCAGTTTTGGGATTCAAAATAAACCAACGAAGTTGCCAGCCTTTCATCATGTTCGTGTACTTCGAAAGCTGACCCTCATACAACTGCGAAGAGACTCGGACAAGGTCATTCTGATCTAGACTTAGGTTATACGAGACATTGGAAGAAGAAAAAGAATGAGAGCTTCTTGATGATAATGAATCTTGGCAAAACCACTTCTTTCTAATCCTTTTTCTATTTTTTCGGATCATATTCCTCATTTTGGATGGATAGCCTTTAAAATGAAATAAAATAAAAATTAGTTTCATACGATTTAGTAAAATATAAAAGGACTCTTTTCTACTTTAAGCACACCAGTGGATTTTTGCATTTGGAATAAAATATTTTAGACTAAAAATTGGACCTGCATAATGTGAGACAAACGTTACATTATAATGTAAAATTCATATTAAATGTTGTTCAAAGTGATTTCCTTGAGCATTAAGATAGGCTCGGCAACTTTCTTCAACAGCAGCAGTGGCAGAACGGCACTGGATATGTGTTATTGTTTCACAAGATTCAATTATCCTTCTTTGTAAAGAATTAAGTTCACTGACCAGACTTGCATCGACTTTTTGTTTAATGCCATCATATCGGCATATTCACCATTAGTATAATTTTTTTTTTTAATTTTATTTTATTGAGATTTACAACTGTATTACATGTAAAATACAATAAGTAAATGTGACATTGGTAACATGACATGTACAACATGAAGAGAAACTACCCATTGGTAGAACTCAAATTAGAGTTCTATATTAGAAGGTCCCGAGGCCATCTTCTTTTCAGACGCCTCGGAGGATTATCAGGGATCGAGGAGGAAGCAAGGTTTTAAACAAGAGGATTCGGATGGTTCTGCAGTTTGTTATGGAAGGATAGATATCTGGATTGGGCCAAATCGGAAACATATGGAACATTAAGGTCTTCATGGATGATTTTATTTGTGATAAAGTAAGGAGCGTTGAGGATTTTACGAAGGATTTTAGATTGTAAGGATTGGATACGAGAGGAATTCGATGGTTTAGTGGAGCCCCAAAGCTCAATTCCGTAAGTCCAAATAGGTCTTATTATTGTCATATATACGAGTCGTTTGTAATTGATTGTGAGCTTAAAGCGTTTGTCTAGTAAGTGCTGCAGTAGTCGAAAACGTCGGGCGGTTTCTAGTCGTTTCAGTCTGGTATGGGGGTTCCAAGTGAGCGTTTGTCAAGGTGGAGTCCTAAGTAGCGGATTTGCTCAACAGGAATAAGTGGAGTATTATTGAAGGATACTGTAGGACAAGAGGTCATAGGTTTACGACGAATAGTGAAGGTAATTTGATGGGATTTGTTGGAATTTATTTTTATTCTCCAATTTTTACACCATCATTAGTATAAATAGAAGGCATATTGATGAGTAATTTGCGGAAGCCTATTACAAACTGATAAATGTTATTTAGAGTTCCCAATGCTAATTCCAAATAATTTTAATCCTTATTTTGCCAATAGCTTTTATACAGTTAGGGATAAAAGGCCATATTAGTATTCTCTCTAATACATCTATTAAACAAAGCGTTTGTGGATATAAATTCACTTTGAACAACATTTAATATGAATGTTAATATATAATTAATAAAGTAGTTAGAAGAAATAAATAGGTTTTATTTATTTCATATAACGTAAATAATTCATAACAACGAAAATCTTTATGTGTGAATATCTCCTAAACAAAGCGTTTGCGGACATACCTTCAGAAGATTTTTCTTGTTTTGAGTTCCTTAGTTAACTTTCGCAGTTTGGCCACTTAACCTTGAAACACCTTGTAATTTTAAAATGTTGGGGGTATAGAATACTCCAAACAGCCCAATATGGCCTACATGTTTTCTCATGATGCAGAGATGGTCGACCGTGATATAATATGAGAAGGAGTTGATCGGGGAGTGCGGTCAAATGAATACTAAATTATAGAAATAGTATTATTTAATTTTTTTGCCGACGTTTCGACCCACTTTGCAGGCCTTCATCAGGACGTAGGATGTAGCGGGAGGCAGTTGAAACACTCAATTGTTTCAACGGTGTTTCAGTGTTCCCATGGGTGTTTCAACTGCCTCTCGCAGTACTACATCCTACGCCCTGATGAAGACCTGCAAAGTGGTTCGAAACGTCAGCAAATAAATTAAATAATACTATTTCTATAATTTAGTATTTATTTGATTGTACCCCCTCCTCCCCCACCCCGATCAACTCCTTCTCATACATTTTTTTCTCGATTTTATGATCAAATTATCTTACGACTCAAATGAAAAGCAAATGAGTATTTACGAGTTTTTAGTACCTAAACTAATAGACAAAATTTGCCTGTCTCCAGGTTGAAAACTCCCCAATTTCGAGGATTTTCGTAAATAAAGTAGTTGTATGTTACGGTGAGATCCTATTTACGAAATTTCAGGCGGATAGTAATAATTTTATAAAAAAGGGTCTATACTTCGGACTACTATGTTTTAATGACTTCCATCGCTAATTATTAAATAATATAAATTAAGTCGTAGATTATAAGAGATAATAAATGAGATATAATCACCATTTACAATATGAATTAGCATTCTTCCAAGCAAATAGTCCACTTTTCCTTATATTCATCATGTTAAAACAGCATTAAAATATTTGTGTAATATTGATAAAACATAAATATAAATAACCAATTTTCATGAAATGATAATTATGAAATATTTAGCTCTTCACTTCAATTGACAGGATAAACAATAAACAATTTATAAAAATCCGTTTAAATTCCTTTCCGCTATAAGACTGTAATTTTATTTATCTGTACTTATTTTGTTTTAATAAGAAATAATAACAATTTTAAAACACATATAACATATTTAATAATCACATGAGTGATTATTAATTATTCTACATTAGAACCTAAAATATATGTTGACCAGTTATTAAAGCCCGTCCGTAGCGATAATCGATAGTTTTTCACTATTGATAACACGTTACAATCGATGAAAGATTAACGATAGTATCGATAGTTCAGTAACTTCTGATAAGGATTTATTTTCGCTAATTTTTTTTGTTTATTTACTTTAAAATACTCCGTATGCTTTATAACAATAATTAACATTCATGTTGGATACATTCTTAAAGATTTAGGTAGATATAGGCACAATAAAACATTTGTGAATAATTGAAAAATTTTATTGACAGAACAGTATATTTATATAAAAAATAAATTTATGTTATAAAAGAAAGATTAACCTCAACAAGACTTTATTAAATATACATTTTCAATACATTAAACAATTAATTATTAAACACATGTGTGTCTAGTAAAAATAAAATAATTCATCTTTATAATACTTCCATGAATATCGAGTTTGTACAGGAAAAGCCAGATTGCGAGTAATGCGTAGGTCTTTTAATTACCAAGATTACAATTTTGGTTTATTATTTTCAATAATAAACCTTTGTAATCAACCAAAAAATCCCAAAACTTAAATGAAACTTGGCTAAAGTTTTCTTCTGGATGCCCTTTAAGTTTATCTATATAAAACACGAAAAGAAGATGGACAAAAAGTTACTAGGGGTAGTAAAATTAGATTCCGAATAATTCAAAAAGTATAAACTTTTTTATTGATGTTGTTGTTAGATGTTTCAAAGGTATTTAAATTTCCTAAAAAAACGAAGAAAGTTTTACCGAAATCGGAGCACTATTAATACAGATAAAGCGATTTTAAAATATTTTTGGTTTATTATTTTCAAATATGAACCATTGTAATCGACTATAAAAATCAAAAACTTAACTCCCCTTCAAAATTTGAGGTTTTACGTTTCAGGATATGTAGAATTCAAAAAACTAATAAAAATCGGTTTTTCGCCATAAGCCTGATTTTTATTTAATTGGGTTTTATAGTTCTGTGTTCTGTTTGTGGTCTCTATTGTGTCTTTTATTTCGTTTCTTTTTTTATTATTCTCTCTATAAAAATATGTTATTAATGTTTGATTTTTTATTTCTATCATTTCTTTGCTATTTTTATTATTAGTATTATTATTTAATAGTGTGTGAAATTTCTGTATTATTTGATTGATTAATTTAATTTATTCAGATTGATTTTTGCTGTACCATATTTTATTTATGTTTTTTTAAGATGAAAGTTGTGTACATTTGTGTTTTGATATTTTTCGTATGTTTCTTGTCAGTTAACGTCTTTGCTTTATTTATGACAATTTGTATACTATTTATTTTTTGTGTTATGGGATAGTTTGAATTATAATTTTTAAATTTATTTCTGATATGAACTCAGTGGTTATTAAAATTGTTTGTATCAATTTTATAATTTATTGTTTTTTCTATATTTTTGGTGATTGGATTGCCGCTTCAATTTTTATATTTTTTGGGTACTGTACTGTGTTTATAATTTTTTAATTATTGAAATCATACCTATGATGGTTTTTTAGTATAATATGTTGTGAGAGGGCAGATGTATTTATGTTTTTTACACTTTTACAGTTATTTTTATGTTGATTGATTCTAATCATTAATTTAAATTAAATATCGAAAATTTTTATTAAAGTTAAGTGTAACAGAACAGAATTAATGAGAAGTTAAAGTATTTGCAAAAGGTTTTTCAGATGCTATCATAAGAATCTAATCAGCTACAATAGAAAATCTGCAGATCCTACAAGACATACTTATGTATAACCATCCATCAATAATTACCATAGTTACACAAAATTAATAAATATTACATATATCAATGGTACCTGTGGTGTAATTTTGTGAATTAGCTAGAAAGCTAATTTGTCTCTCTTTCTTTGAGCCTAATAAGCTATGTTATGTGGCAATTACAGAAGATAAACATTCATTTGTGAATTATGAATTGAAACTCCAAAACTGAACTTGCAGATGTGAAAATTTCATACTTTCATTTTTTTTTTTCTTAAATATGACTCTTGTACTTAACACACTATGCACAAGTGCCACAGATATTTATTATTATATAATTCAATAAATAAATAGAGTGACATATTTTACAAGAGTGTCAAGTTAAATATTTTAAGGAAATACCAAAATTCCTTACCTTCATTAGTGAGACAGTAAAATCACTTAATATTAACAAACTTATAGACTTAGAGGATGGTAATAAAGATTGGAACAATTTACTCAAATAACATATATACACATGCTTATAAATGGAGAATATTTTTGATCCAGAAATATCAATATATAGTATACATCATAAACATAAATCTTTAATCATACTGTAATTAGTATGCTTAAAGTGAGTTTGAAAAAATGAGGACTTAAGAGCATGTTGGGGTGAGGGTCTCGGAGTGCCTGGTTCTAATCGTTGTGGGTCCAATTCTCAAGTGGGTCAGATAATATATATTTCTTGATGAGCCCAGGAAATGGATCTTGACATTCTCACTCTAATAAGTATGCGACAGGAACCTCAAGATAGCCGTCAGGGATTAGCGAAAAAAGGATCACAAGAACCAAATATGAGACTAGTTCTCCCCACCAGTCACAATACAAGTACCAGAGTATGAAAAATGTGAGATTAAATTGTGCGTAAAGAATAAAAATAAAATGGGTTATTTTTTTGGGAAAAGGCATAGAATAAAAATGCATCCATTAGGGAACAGCTCTGCTCAGTTGCACCACTGGGCAATGTCAATTAATATGATTGTTATAAAATATTAGGCCAAAGGTCACGAAATGTACATAGTTTTCACATCATGTATTATTTATTCGACGTTTTGGCTTCAGGAGCCATTTTCAAGATCCTGCAAACTAATTTTTAATTCAGTTTTTATACTTCAAAATACATCCTTATTAGACACATACTAATTCAACAACTAACAGTTATATAAGTAGTCTAAATTCTATTTTATAATTTTTTTTTAATTTTTATCATCTACCTACCATGCACCGCTTCATAAAATTTCTAAAATCTATCATTAAAATATAATTCGTCTTTTAGACATTCTTTTATTTCATAGAATGTCGTTTTTTCACTTCTAAAAAGTTGCAATAAATAAATAATTAATTAAAATAGAATGTTAAAATTTAAAATATTTAGTGACCTTTGGCCTAATATTTTATAAAAAACTTATGAGAAAATGGCACCAGAAAATCAATTAATATGTTGTTGATAATACTACTTAGAAATTTATGTAGTCCCAACATACGATATAACTAATATGCCTAAGTATGGCATGATGGCCATAGCAAATATTGTAAATACAACATGCAATAAAAACATGGTGAAAACTAAAACAATAAATAATTTATTTATTAAAATATAACACTTATGATGTAATTATTTACATCTAATGGAACTGTAAACATTATTTTTTGTTTTACTGAATACCTGAATAAAATTAAGATTTATCGTTTCCCCGAACTCAATTAGTTATGTAGACAAAAGATTCAATCATGTGCTGTTAATTTAGTGTAAAGTTATTTTTATTTTCTCCTACCTTGCCTTTGGGACGAAATTTAGTTTAATAAAACTAGTAATTGACCGGTTACTATCTGACACCTTCAGGATGTAAATCTGTCTAATAGACTCCTATAACATGATGGATTATCAAGTTATGATTGAAGATTCATCAGAAACCTGTTAGTGTTAACTCAAAAGTTATATGCAAGGCCAGGATTTTTATGCAGTAAAAAAACACAGAATAAGCCATATAATATGCAGTAAAAACCTCTGAAATATGCAGTAAAATAAACATGAAAAATGCATTAACTGGTTTCTATATATACTAAACTTACAAATTACATAAGTAACAAGGCAATAATGACGTGCCAACAAAGTTTTGAAACGAAAAAAAAATTATGGAGAGGTTGAAAATTACAATAACTCAGGGTTTTTTTTAATATCTAAACTAAAGAAAGAAAATGTCTAAAGCTAATAAGATTATAATATAAATATATACATTATAATGGTAACAAAAGTGCTACATGAATCACATTAAAAAAATTTAAATATCAAAGTATATACAAACGAAAAAACAATAATTGTCTTAACATAATTAAATAAGCATAGTAATACAACACAACAAATATTGAACAATAAGTATGTTAATGCTTTAAAATTTTTGAATGTAAATGGATAAAAATCTAACATGAGTCTTTGTTGAAAGAAGAAAATAATTAACGAATTGTGAAATAAATAACATAAATAAATAAAATAGATAAAATATTTGAATTAGTCTACTTTGTAGATATGTTTAGTATTAAAGTTAATTGCCAAAATCATTGCTAAATTTGCTTCTGTGAAACTTGACCATTTATAATTGTAAAATGATCTTTCTACATCAATAGGTGTGATAAGGACAAATTTATATCCGCTTAAAATTACCGGGTTGATGTCAATTTCGCTGGGAACAATTGGATCTTTGTTATTTAAAATTTTATTAATACCTTCCAGAATTGTGAGACCTGAATTTTTTATAGAAACTTCTTCCATTTTTTTATTTAAAGTTTCACCCATTGGCTTGGTACCGCTGGTTTCCATCAGTTGTAAAAACTATTTCATGTCTGTTGTTTTAAGGTTCAATCCAAGATTTCAACATTATGAATAGTTTTGAACTTCGATAGATACTTTTGGCATTTTAAACGAACAGAAATATGATCTCTTGCAAAGAACGAAGCCAACAAACTAAAATAGAAACTTAGTGTGATGTTAAAGTGGGAAAATGGATTTTTTAGGAATTAGAGAATATCCATAAAGATAATTATTAAAGGATATACAGTCTACAAATGTGGTAGATTTTGTTCATTGAAAATAAATCTATGATTGTAATCTGGAATAGCAACTTCAATATTGAATTTTACTTTGTATAGATAAATAAATATTCATTTACATGTACATTTACATTTCATTTAATTAGTAACAATATGCAATTATATGCATTTATCTTCAAATATGCAATTATATATATTTATCCTCAAATATGCAAAATAAAATTTGGCTAATTTCATCACAGTGTACTAATTCGTATAGATATTTGATCAGTGGTTGAAAAAAACGTAAACAAAATATGCAATGGCAAAAAAAAATCTGGGCCTTGGTTACAAGCCATAAAATACTTACAATCTTCTAAGTGGCTATTAGTTACTGATGTAGCCCTATAAATCATGTTTTCAATATAATTATGTAATATAATTTTTTTTTTTTTTTTATATTCTTCTTGGCTTTAAGACTTATAAAAGCAAGTCCTATTTTGTCAGTAAAATATTTTAATTGTCATAGTAAGATGAAATTACACAGGATATTTATTAATTACTTATAGATAAAGGAACTTAAACTAGAAAGACTAATGGTTAAAAACTGAGGTGAATTAGAATTACAATTAAATGAGAATAAGAGGCGACTTTTATTATATAACTGCTTCTATGTCATTCAAAAACTTTATCAAGTCACGGGCGTTATCTTTATTCAACGACCGAAGAAAGTTAGCTCCATCATCTGTAGTTTGCGACCCTAAACTAATTTTTCTTCGCTTCTTGGATCCTCCAAGCATTGGCATGTTGGACAGTGACCGCTCTTAGCCATACCCATTAGATGCAGATATTTATTAGTCCTATTATGATTTATCCTAAGCCTGTTCAGCTTTACTAAGCTGGAGCGGTCAAGATGTGATTTAAGATTAAACCATGAAACCAGTGCTATCTCCTGTTGAACTTGAACTATCCGATGTTTCACTTATTTATCAAGGAACTGTTTGACGTTTCTGGCTGCTCCAACAGTAACTACACCAATGCTCAAAGCTTTTAATTACTTACATAAGGCTCTTTTACATGACTATAATAAGGCCTATAAGGAGATGCAGAGTTAAACTTTGGGGACGAATAAAATCATTTATATGAGAAGGAGTTGATCGAGGGGTGCGGTCAAATTAATACTAAATTAAACAAGTAGAATTATTTAATTTTTGCCGACATTTCGACCCACTTTGCAGATTTTCATCAGGGCGTAGGATGTAGCACTACTCTCAGTGTTTCAGCTGCCTACCGCAGTGCTACATCCTACACCCTGATAAAGACCTGCAAAGTGGGTCGAAACGTCGGCAAAAATTAAATAATTCTACTTGTTTAATTTAGTATTAATTTGACCGCACCCCCCCCCCCCAATCAACTCCTTCTCATATTATATCAACGGCCAACCATCTCTACATCAAAATCATTTATAAAGAACTTAATTTTCTATTTGTCGCTGATTTACTCTAATCCTGATACTTATCCTTTACGATGAACTTCAGGCTCATCTAAACATACTTGTTTCCAGTCTTGCTTCCTTATAATCCGCCTGGGCATCACAAAAGAAGTTGACTTCGAGATCTTCTTAATTAGAACTATTTGAGGAGTGCTATTATTGGGTAGTACCTCAACAAGTCTTTTCATGTTATTATTCTTTATATGTTCATATTTACTGTTTTTATTTATTTAATATTGTGGTAAATTTCAATGAGTAAAATTTATTGTTATAAAAGTATTGTTTAATGTGTAAAGGTATAATGTGTGGAATCAAGTATATAATTTGTATTTATTATCTTATATGTATTCACAATGTAGTTAGATATCACAAAAACAATATAGATAAGAGTTTGATTAAGAAGATAACCTGGTAACATCTTAACAATGCTATTCTTTGATTTTATAAAGTGTAAATCATAACGACATAGTTTGTTAAAGTTTGAGTAAAATAACTAATATTTAATGTAATATATTGTTCTTAATTAAAAGCATGAATACGTTTGTGGTTACGTAACATATTGAGTGGGGGTACAAACCCGACCAGATCCAACGCAGCTTTAGTTCATACTGGTCTGTCACTTCTGAGTTCAAGGGCAGAATTACTGAAAGTGAAACTGTATCTGTATTAGTTTCGATTTATCAGTACTGAGCTCGTGTCAGTATTTTAGTATCGGATTTCAGATAAGTAATGGGTATTAAAGACCATCAGGGGACTTTGGTTTTCTTCGTCAACGGGAAAAAGGTATGAAAATCATCTTAATAACAGAAAAACACCAAAAAATATTTTATATCATCAAATTTTTTTCAATTCATAATTGTATTTCTTATCTATAAGAATCAAAACAAACAAGCAGAAACAAGGATTCAAATGCTATGTTTAGCTAATATCAATATTTATTTTTTGTATTTATTCCAATTATAATTAAAATAAAAAAAAATATTAATATATATCAATTATTTAAAACAAATTTTTTGTTATTGTTTTATTTAAATTTATATATTATTGAACAAAAAATTGTGATTTATACTTTCATATGAAAGATGATTTTAAGTATGTTATTTATTTTAAGAAATTAATTATCAAAAATTTTGAATAACGGTTTATTTTTTTTCTCTAGTCATAAACGACTTACCTGAAAAACAAACGATTAGGAGGAATCAATAATTGCTTATAAATTTAAATGCCGGTTTTTGTTTGTTTATTTATTTTTTAAAACTCGATATCTTATTTGTTTACCGACCTCAAGATATGCTTGCACATCTAAAGGTTCATTTAAACATTTCACGAACTACAAAACAAATAAATATGTATATAAATGGTTATATCATTACGCCAGTATTTTTGTTTTTTGAGAAATAAAATAAATAGTTTAGTTTACTTATATTGCTAGAAAAATGTTTAATCGTACTTTAATATTCTTGAAACGCTATCATCGAAGTATGCCATTCTTGTTTTTAAAGCTTGAAGATGAATTTACTGTAATAAAACACTTCAAACGCCTTTAACAAAGCTTCTCTGATATGATTATTTGTTCTTTAGTTTTAATATAATAAAATATTTTAAATAAACAATTATTTATTACATTATGTAAGATATTCATAAAACCTTTTTTTTTATGTAAAGTTCTTTTTTCTGTTACATAAAAATTTCAATATTGAACTTTTCAGTATCATTACGTAAATTTCAATATTAAAATAAAATCGTCAAATCAACTTTAAAGATTAAAAATCTGTTTTACTTTGATCTTGATCTAATATTTTAAATGAATTTTCAAGAAAATATTTATCGTATTTATATAATTTAAATGTGTATTTATTTTTGTATTAATATGAGAGATTCAATATTTGGTTCTGTCGTCTATAGAAAAATATCGAATATATATTACGCATTTCTTTTAAATAAAAATTTAAAAAAATAATACAATGCTTGTACAATCATTATAAAAAAAATAAATATTAATAACTACCATGATTGATTGTTACACAAACGCGTGCTAAATAAAGTATAATATTTTGCCGGTTTTATATAAAATTTCATTAACTAATAAACCTATGATTTATTTTTTAAAAAACCGTAATCGTATTTATTATTTATTTTTATAATTATCCTCATTTATTTACCCTAAAGCTTTTCAAATACCGGTCAGAAAAATAGGATCACCTTTGTCTTAAAAAGCGAAGATCTGTGGGTGTCATGTTACATAACAGTACAGCATTCCTCTTAAATTATTTCTTACAATTATTACCTGTATATGTTTAAAATAATAAAACTCTTTTGTGGTAATTGTTATTCAAATTAGAATAACGTAATGAATCATCTATTTCAAGGAATCTGTTATAGTTGTTCAAAAATTAGTTAAAAGGATTTCTATGCTTCTAACTTAAAATTTCTTATTATATCGACATTTTAAAATACCTGAAATTATTTTTTCCATTATAAATTTTAAATCTTGCTTTCTGATAACTACTTCACTATTCTTGAGGAATTTCCTTAAAATATCGTTCGTAATTTTTTTTTAATTTTAACTTAAAATAAAATAAATAGTGCAATTAAACATATCGTTATTTCTTATTTGTGTGTTCCATTCGAATAATTAATTTTATTAAATATAGTATCGGTTTATTATGCAAAGTCACTAACATAAGTAAATTTTAACCTTATTTATTGATTTTAAAAAACCCAGTAAGTGTACCAAATGATATAAATCATTTATCTATCTAGTATAGTTAGAACAAAATTTACTGGTTTTACAAAGAGAAAAAATTAATCGAAATTAAATTTAAGGTTACATGTCAATTAATGAGTTTTTCATTAAACCAACGATATTAATAATTATAAAAATAATTTATAAGTAACATCTGATGGAATTATGCAATTAGGTTATTTAAGAGGTTACATAAATACATAAGAAAAAATACCAATAGCATCAGAGATAATATATTGTCATTTATGAAATACGTATCTCAATTCCGTTTGTTACGTCAGTATTATTTTTTAAGGAATCGTTGTAAACAGGAATAAATTTTATTGGATGACATATTTCAAAATAAAATTATAAACATTAAAGATGTATTATAATCATCTGGAAATTTGATCTTCATGCCATAATGGCTCCATAAATTTTTTTTTTAAGTCGGAAAAATATTTTTATAATAAAATATTTCCGACCAATTTCAGTTATTTTTTTTATATTTTAATTTTTATCCCATTTCCTCCGAAAATAATATGCTTATGCATGATGCTTTTTTGTTACGTTTTTTAAAAACTAGAACATGTATAGTAATAGAGTTATAAAAATTGTAGTGGAAAAATAAACCTTACTCATGAAAGAAATCCTACGGTAAACGGCACAACCTTATTCCAATGTTGAAGAAAATAATTTATTAAAAAATAAAATAAACTAAAATCAATGAAATCCTGATTTCTAAAAGGAAAATAAACGGTGATAATTATTACTCGAGGTTTAAATATATTTTTAAATAATAGCTTATCAACTATTTGAGATGTATCATGTATTCCCCGAATACATCGGAGGAAAAATAAAAATACGAATATAAATACATAAGGAGAATCATATCACTTCTTCAAATGGTAATCTCAATTACTGCAGTAATTATAAAATTTTCGATAAATCAATAATAAAAAAAAACCCGCTGCAAATCATTTCACAATGGTTTATTATTTCCCAACAATTATACATCTAATGTAACATTATCTTTCCAGTAACAAATTAAAAGAATTTGAGTTCTACCAATGGGTAGTTTCTCTCCATGTTGTACATGTCATGTTACCAATGTCACATTTACTTGTATTTTTCATGTAATACAGTTCTATGTAAATTTCATTAAAAAAAAAAAAAATTAAAAGAAATAAAAAGTTAATTCCAATTATTTGCCTAAACATTTTTTTTCATCATTATTAATTTGCTAAGAAAAAATAGCGTTACCTCAAATCCAAAAATCAAAATCCAAAACAAAGGATTTGCAGTAGAACATAAAGAACATCTAGATACCATATCTTTGCTCCTAATTGTCCGATTTTAACACTTTTTATTTTTTTAGGAAATTCCATAAACTTTAAAAAATATATACAATATCCAACAGGTAATGCCAATGTAGGAGGATCATCCTCGGCCTCTGACTTTGAATCCAAATTCGAAAAAATCGATCAAGTAATTTCGGAGAAAATGCGCGGACGGCGGACGGACACAATTTTTTTATTCGTTTTTCAAATTCTTCATATCCTGAAAGGTAAAACCTCAAATTTTGTGAGGGGGTTAACTTTTTAAATTTTTGTTTTATTACAATGGTTCATTATTGAAAATAATAAACCAAAAATATTTTAAAATCGCGATATCTTAACTAATAGTGCTCTGATTTCGATGACATTTTCTTCATTTTTTAAGAAATTTAAATACCTTTGAGACATCTTATCAGAATATTGATAAAAAAGTGTATACTTTTTGAGTTATTCGGAATGAAATTTTACCATCCCTCGTAACTTTTTTTTCCAGCTTTTTTTTGTTGAAGTATGTTATGTAGATAAATTTAAAGGGCACCAAGAAGAAGACTTTAGCCAAGTTTCATTGAAGTAGGTACATTCGTTTAGGCGCTACAGTCTGTAGCAACACGTTTTTCGGCCGCCATTTTGAAAGTAAAAGGCGGATAGTAATGTCGATGAAGGATCAGAGGTCATCCTCGGGTGACCTCTGATTTTAAATTCCAAATTTGAAAAAAAAAAAACGGTCCAGTAATTTCGGAGAAAATGCGCGGACGGCGGACGGATAGTAGAATTTTTATTCATTTTTCGAATTGTTCGAACATTCGAACGTAACATTTTCCTGAAACGTGAAACTTCAAAGTTTGAGAGAGGGTTAACTTTTTGAATTGTTTGTTCGATTATACTTTTTAAATTTATTATTGAAAATAATAAACCAAAAGAGAATGGCCTTTGCCGAAGAGAAGTAAATGTTTAAAACTCTATAACTGCAACGAATAATCCAACTTCGATGGTTTTTTTTTTTAATTGTAAGGAATTCATGAAGGTTTCAAATAATAAAAAATGTGTACTTTTTTTAGTTGTATAATTCTTAATTCATCGTAACATTTCTACTCTACTACATGATTAAAGGACATAAAACGTTCTTTTGATCGGTGTGCCTATATCTATCTTATGTACGTAATATCTTAAGTATGACTTTTTATTTTTAGCTAGACTGATAACATACTCACAGACCATTTTTCGGGACTTGGTTATTTGGATTCAGGGTACCTCAAAATGTGTATTTCCGTTGAAAACACAGATTCCAAAATTTTCACGGATGCAATACTTTCCCTTATTATATTACATATACAGATAAGTGAAAGTAAAAAACTAATTAAACTTCAAAAATGTACCGTTTACTACGAATAATATCAATTTCCAGCTTTTGAGCAATTTTTGCTTAAAGTGAAAATGCAATAAATATAATCTTATAAATATCTCCGTAACCATTAATTTTATCCAAAAAATGTATAGGATCATTTTAATAGAAATTTTAAAGCACTTTGATATTGTACTGAACAATCTTTAAACTCGTAATTTTAAAGGTATCCACAAAAAACTAATAAAATACAACAAAAAAAGTTATCTGTTTAAATTCTTCTTTTTGCTGGGAGGCTGTATGATATTCTCTGTTTTGGTAATGGTAACTTCCAAATATACAATTGATTTATTTGTTGAATTTACATATTAACGTTTCG